CAAATCAAACAAGCATCTAGTTTAAGATTTATTTTAGTACTAGCCCACATTAAAATTTAAAAATGACAGGCATTCAAGGTTTCCGTGCAGTGTCAAAAATCTTCTCTATTCCAGAAAACAACTGAAGCCACAGGCCAAACTTACACAATTATGCCCAGAAAGGACTTAAAAGTCTTGCAAAAGACACTAAATATTTAAGTTTTCTCTGAATTATCTATCATTTGTTCATGTTTCCTGCTAAGAAATGAACTCAGGCTTCCCTGCATTCTTATTTTTCTTCTAATAACTTGATGAAAAAGTATTTATTCTCTCACCCTCAACTAGTTATAATTCATTTTGCACTTCAGCTTTTCTTCAATGATATCTAAATACAAGCTAAAAATAGCTGCAGGGAGAAAACACTGATGACTGGCCTCTTCTCAGTAGGTTTTATTTGAAAAAGCAACACAGCAAGATATATTAGTGGTACTGTAGACAGTGCATGTGTTGTACTTGTTCAAATACAGGAGTACACCGGTAGTTGGCCAGGGAAGACCAACATAGTGGTCTGCTGCTAAAGGCTTAAACTTAGATGAAAAGTTGTGGTAGTGAGCCATTTCATGACACAAAATCTTCTAAGACCACCCTACAAAGACAGGGGATCAACAACCTTTAAAATGGATTTGCAGAGTTTCCAGAAAATTTTAACATGAGTGCTAGAGAAGTTATCTAGAAATTAGGAGGCCAGAAAAAGGTTCCAGAGTTGTATGTATTTCACTTTAGAAGCAGCATGGTCATAGAATCATAGGATCACTAGGGTTGGAAAAGACCTCCAAGATCATCTGGTCCAGCCACCTCCCTGACACCAATACCCACTAAACAACACTGAGCTTAATGCCCATTCAGCATGAAAATGGGTGAGAAAAGTCAACATACACAATAGAGGTTTGAAGTTTGGATTTTTAAAAACGTGCTTCTGCTCAACGTTACTTCATATACATGCTTGCCAGCTGCATGGAGGAATCAGCAGGGGATGTGCCTTTGCATCTAAAGAGTTTGGCACCAACTGCTGCCCTGCCTTGAACAGAAATATGAAAGTCCTAGGAAATGGGTCATCCTTTTCTGCCTGTAGTTAAATGTTAAAATGTAGCTCGTGGAATATCCATGCCAGCTTAATAAGAAATTCATATGACAAATTCTGATTTAAGATGTCCATAATGGATGCATAATTATACCTAATAGCAATGTGACACAGAAGCAAACAATACTTTGGCATGTGATTTTTCTAGAGAATTAATGCCCCACATGGGTTATTTAGGCTATTTGGTTTGATCTACTGTTTACCCTGATACCTGTTCGGAGCCTGATAATTTTTATTTGGCTTGTGCACATTCCGCAGCAGTGTGTGATCTTGACAGCGAGAGAATGTATTAGGACATGCTGAGTTTACATCTTCCATCAATGATTAATCACTTTGTTGCAAATTTCTATCTGAATTAGTGAAGAATCTCCTGAAAAGTTTATATCACAATGTGGGAGTATAGTTCAGAGATCTGATCAGTAATAATAGCAGCTTCTCAACAAGAGCACTCAGAAAACAGAAAATGAGAAAATGTAATGGAGAGAGTAGTTCCAAGGATGTAAGCTAGAACAGTATAAATAAACCTTCAGATCAAACGCTTCTACATGTGATAATTATTTACAGAGAAGCTTATAAAATGTCAGTCGTCATTAATAGACTTTTAAAAGTTTAGAACAGTAAATACATTACTAAGTAAGCAAATAAAAAGACTGTTAAGTTATAAAACACTACTTCTTATCAGTCAATTTCCTAGTAAAAAACAAGCAAAACTTTTTTGTTTTTTCAAAAGCAACATTAAAGTTTTCTAAGCACAAATACTGTTTTAGTTATATTTGAGGTATTTTTGATGTACCACTTGAGAATACCATGTAAACACATATGGTTTCTAACACAGAACTGATCAATAATGCAACTCTTCTGAATGAGTTACTGCATGCTACCTGTGTTGGTAGTGGTTTTCTCTGGACTCTGAAAAATAATTTTTAATTTTATCAAAATAAATTTAAAAACAACAAAAAATGTATTGGTTGGTAAAGTTGGTTTGTTAGGCAGTATCTGTGAAAATTAATGTAAAGAAGGGATAAATGGATATTCTCCCTAAAAACTAACAAATTGAAAATTCTATATAAGATATAAAGAAAATTGGAAAGTTCTGGTTAAATCAGCTTTCCTATTCATTAGTTTATTGATGACCTACCCACTCTGCATGATAAAATTTTAAAAGACTGAAACTTAAGACTCTTTTTCTTTCTGCAAAAACACAATTAGACTTCCATCAGTAAAGATTACATATAAAATTAGACTGTATCTATGTCATGGCTTTTAAATACAGAAAAACAACTTCAATTTTTTCAGTGACAAGCTATACTTGTATTGCATGCTTAGCAATGAGATATTGTGTTTGAATAATATGAAGTGTAAAAATAATAGTTTATATGTCCTGTGCTTATCAAAATTGATTTGTGTTTTCAGCTGTCCTATAAAGACATGAAGATATGAAGAGATCTAATAATTACTTTTTCAACAGGAGGTATTCAATACTGTTTTAAAATTGGCAATGTCTCACCAAATTCCCCAAAGAGCTGCTGCTCCAAGTTCAGAGTAGTGATTTTTCTTTGATGAATTACTAACAATTAGGACATGACAGAAAGTATGATTGAACTTGTCATTGCCAACATAAAGGGCTAAACCAACAGACAACCTCCAGTTCTTGGCTGTAATTTTAATCAGAGGCAAATGAAATAATAAAACATCTTCATTTCTCTAGAATGTGTTTTAGCTAATTGCTAAATTATTTTTATTTTTACTTATTTATTAAGATATGAGCTAAAACTTACATGTACTTCTCCCATTCTTTTGATTTCTTTTTTTTTCCAATCTTCCACTGGGAAGGGACTAATGCAATGCTGACAGCAATTATACTTTTGAATAGGTTTCCCGGAACTGGTGGAATCTCAATTTCCCTCAATGGATATATTTAAGACTTGGCTTGGTGGGGCTTTTGATAACCCAGCTAAGGCCCTGCTTTCAGAAGCAAGTGGGACCTGATATGACCCCCTGCAGGGGGATCATCTATCCTCATAGATCCCTCCTGGCTTACAGTTTCTGTGATTCTGTATTAAATTCAGAACAATGATCTCACAGTGCAAACCTCAGTTTAGTTGGCGTGTCTGCCTTAGTTATCAAACACATTATACTGAACAACTATGTAGAAAATCTAAATATATAAAAGAGTAAAGTGCTACAGACGTTGTTTCTGCATTTTAAAATCGGAAATAAAGAACCAGATAATTAGTTGTTTTCTTTTTTATTGCTTGGGTTTTTCTGTTAGATTGCTGCAGCTTATTCCAAGTCATGTATTTGCTACCTTAGGTAAATAAGGTCACTAGATAAGCAAGTGAATAGCTGGAAGAGTATCAGCTCATGCACACATCTATGTAATAAAATAAAATAAAACTGCAGAAGCTAATAGTTCTTAATTTGTCAGAGGAGCATCAGGGAAGAATTTGTTAAATAACAAAAGAAAAAAAAATCAAAACCCACAAACGTCTGATTATCCAACAACAGACCAGCAATCTTACATAAGGAATTCCTCATCAGTTGAGTAGTTACTCAGGTAATTTCATTACTTTGGTTCTAATCTTCCTCACATTCCACTAACTAATTGACTAAATGAGCTGCAGTTTGAAACTCAGACATCTGTATCTCAGCTTCATAGTGGGAAAATGACAGAGTCATGATGAAGATAAGCAATTTCTGTGTAGTACCAAACTAGCAAACTATCTAGTTTCCAAAACATTTCAAATCTGTTGCTTTATCATTGCACTTTTTTTTTTTTTTCCATAGGGCTTTAGGGGAAATATCTTTAGGCAATTATTGGCATTTCAGATTGATAAAAGCTAAGGAATTCTTAAGATAGCTATGTTGTGTTGTGTACTCAGTATGAGAAAACCTAGAGTATAAAACTACTATTACAAATATTTACTGGCAAAATTCAGTATCTAGTTCAGTAATTGGAACTATGGAATCAACTTGTTTTGCTACTTGTTTGTATACAATTTTTTAATAATTACAATATTTTAGTTTGCAAATTAATGTGCATGGTACATCTTACGTTATACAATAATGTTACCTTGTTTATCACAAAGCTATGGCAATGGGTCCAATTTAAACAACAATTACCCAGAAGTGCCATAAGAAAAAAGGAGAGAGATTAATTAACTTTGTTGAAGAAATAGTAGTTCCTATTGTTTTGCTCACTTCAGTCTCATCTCCCAAGAGTAACTACCCAATTATAATCTGATATTAAGCTCAGGATTCTACACTGCTTTATATAGATAGATAGATAGACAGATATAAACATAGTAAAATATACATGCCTCAATGTAAGCAAGCACTTCATGTCTGATGCACTGCTAATGATGAAGCAAGGAAATGTACTGATTTTGAAAATACATACTAAGTTATGTTTGAAAAAAAAAGAAAAGAAAAGAAAAGATGAACTAATTATCCTTTGAGTCAAGACCTAAGTCAACATAATTAGAAAGGTCATTATTAGCACAAAAAGGAAACTTCAAAATTATCTTAGACACATTCAGCTCCATTTGTGGTGTGTATGTGTCAGGTTTACATAAAGAAGGCAGTTTCAAACCTACAGTAGATGAAGCCTATGGTTCAATGAAGTATTAAATACAACAGCCAACTCCCATTCTTGTTATTAAGCAGTTTTACTTAGTTTGAGCAAGGGATGTTCCTTGGTTTGAAAGAACATATGACAAGACTGAAGAAAGAAAAATGGCATTCTACAGCTTTGTAATAAGAGCTGCATTTAATGTGCATCTATAAACAAGGATTCAATTTATTTTATACTGTCATACTTTACTACATCTTCCACAAGATTACAAGTTACACAAACTGAGTATGTAAGTAACTTTATGAATTTTGAAATACATGGCTTATGTGGTTAATTAAAAACACATTTTGAATATTAGCCCTACAAAATACAAGTGCTGCGAAATACTTGTCAGAGTATGCAGAGACATGATGAGGAAGGCTAAGGCCCGTTTGGAATTAAATCTGGCAACAGTTGTCAAGGACAACAAGAATACTTCTTCAAATACATCAGTAGCAAAGGGAAGACTATAGAAAATGTGGGCTCACTGATGAATGGAGTGGGTTCCCTGATAATGAAGGATACTGAGAAGGCAGCTGCTGATGGCCTTCTTTGTTTCAGACTTTACTGCTAAGACCAGCTTTCAGGAATTCAAGACCCTGGAGACAAGAGAGGAAGTCTGGAAAAAGGAGGACTTTTGCTTGGTTGAAGAAGAGCAGGTTAGAGATCGTTTAAGCAAAGTTGACACCCATATATCCATTGGCCTGAATGAGATACACCTGTGAGTGCTGAGGGAGCTGGTCGATGTTAGTGGTAAGTCACTCTCCATCATCTTTAAATGATTGTAGACAACAGGGGAGGTGCCTAAGGAGTGGAAGAAAACCAGAGTCACTCCAGTCTTGGCAAGAAGGAGGACTGAGGAAGTTAAAGGCCAGTCAGCCTCCACCCCATCTCTGGAAAGGTGACAGAACAGCTCCTCAGTACAAGAGGGACATGGAGATACTGGAGTCCAGTGGAGGTCTACAAAGATGAAATACTGGAGCATCTCTCTTTTGAGTTTTGAAAGAGCTGGGCCTGTTTAGCCTGGTGAAGAGAAGACTGAGAGGAGATCTTATCAATGTAGACAAATATCTTAAGGGAAGGTTTCAGGAGGATGGGGCCAGGCTCCTTTCAGTAATGCCTAATGACAAGAAAAGAGGCAACAGGCACAAAGTGAAATACAGGAAGTTCCATCTTAATAGGAGGAAAGAAATCTTTACCCTGAGGGTGACAGACCACTGGAACAGGTTGCCCAGAGTGGTTGTGGAGGTTGAATATCTTCTCTGGATGTGATCCTGTGCACCATGCTTTAGGTAGCCATGCCTGGAAAGGTGTGGAACAGATGATCTTCAGAGGTCCTTTCCAACCTCAGTCACTTTGTGACTCTGTGTGACTTAACTTTAGCAAGGCTGGGCTTGCTTTGTAATCAGTAAGAGATAAGGCAGAGTAACTTCCAAGGTAGCTGTAAGTTTCTCTCTGGTGGACTTTCTCTCTAGTGAGTATCTAGATATGGCTGTACTGAGATACTGCCCTGTCTAGGATGGACTGAAAGCAGTTCAACTAGATCTTCCTCATTTCCAGTAAGGCTAACTGAACAGTATGAGGCACTTCAAATTTCCCATATTGAAAGGCCTGTTCAAACACGATAGGAAAGGCAGCACTCGAGTTAAATAATATTAGATTATCAGAAAATTTCAAAGTTGACCTCTTTCAGATTTGTTATGACATGTTCAATTATTTTCAATAGGATTGTAGCCACAAACTTGCCCCAGGAAAAAGTGCTGCTGCTGTCCCTTTTGTCATGCCTTTTTGTCCCCTAGCAACACCTATCGAAGTGTTTTCCCACAGGAATATTGAGAGGTGGTTACTATTGTTCAAAATACTAACTCCTCCTCACTCTGAGTTAATTTAATTGTGTGTAAATTACATGCATATATGTAATATGGGTATGAGAGGATATCTTCAATTATATTCACAATTCAAAAGAAAGCAAAAAAAAAAAAAAAAAAAGCTTGTCTGTCTGTTGTGCTACTTCTGTGTAACAAGCCAAAGAACATAAGTGAGTCTGTATCTGAAAACAAAAAAGAAAATATACCCAAGAAGTGCAGTATCAAAACTGTATCTGTTAGGACCTATTCAGTTTGCATATACAGTGTTGATGTTTAATTAAAATGTGAATGACATATAAATTTAAACAAATAAAAACAAAGGACAAAAAAATCTAGTTCAAGAGTATTTTAAATTTCAAAGCACAATTATTATTTAAAGCTAAGACACAAGTCCAAGACGCTTTGTTTACATTTAAAAATGTATCTGCAATGAAAGCAAGTTATTGGGATTATTGTTGCACTCAGAGTAAGTTTTATCAAGCTGGAGTACAGAAATGTACACTGAGGACAACCAAAACAGTGTTTTCTCTGCTGTGTGGTGATATCACAAAGGATAATAATAATAATGATAATAATGATAATAAGTTGTGTCTCCTTCAAGCAGTTAAATCTAATGTGAGGTGCAAGACAGTATTTTTTCATAATAATGAGATAGTTAACAGTCTGTGAAAAATTAGCTAGAGTTGCTGTTAATATGCAGCCAATTCTGATCACTGTGAGTTCTGCTAAGTTTGCTAAGGCCCTCACCTTAAAGAGTGCTTTGTGTGAATGGACTGCTATGGTTTCTTAAGAATTGTAATATACAAGAAGTTCCCTAACAACTTTTTGAGAGTTAAGATCTTCTATTAAGTGTCTGAGGATATCCACAAAGTAGCTACTGATTTGGTTATCTGAGGTGACTTCATTTTGTTCTCTCTTGTTCATTCGTTGATAAAATATATACTTATTCCTTATTTACATAGATATGAGACAGTTAATATTAAGTCTTACTTTAAAAAATCCTGTCTTTTTAATAGATTACACCCTATCCATTTTAATTAAGTTTAACAGGAATATTTTATTTAGAAGTCTGAGCTGAAGATACCCAAGTATCCATTTTATGTCACAGAAAAAAATAGTTGCTTCACACATTTGAAAGAATTGAACTTTAATAATAGTCGTGGTTTCTAAACAAAGCTGGTACTAAAAGGAATACCCCATCTTTTTTTGCTATATGTTTTTTTTTTTTTTTCATTTAGTGGAAAAAGGGAGAATAAATAAATAAATAAAAAGGATCTGCAAGTGAGATCCTGGAGTGTTGACCTTTAATTTCAGCCTATATGCTAATTCTCCCTAGTTAGGAATCAGTTTTCCAAATCATCAATAAGGAACTCTAAGCATAAGCCTGCACTAAGGTTCAAAAAAGCAACTTTGTAAACATGAAAGTTGTCATACTGATTTTTGTTAAAAATAACATTTGAAAACTCATTGTTTTTAAGTTTCAGCTTGCCATAGAATTTATCTTTCATATTTCTATATCGTTGCTTTCTTCTTTGTTATCAGTAAAAACTAACACTGACCTTCCTCCTAGAAGGTTCAACTTCTAACTTCTGTTTGAAACACTAAAGTGTCTTTTCTCAGAAGAAATGCTACATATACGTGCCGCCAGAAACGAGAAAGAATACACCATTGCTCCGACCCTTCATTAGTCAGAGGATCTTGGCAACAGAAACAGGGCTTGTATATGGTCTCTGCATGAAAAACTATTTTCAAAGGTAACCTTGCCAAGGGCTATGTTCTGTCTTGGCAAAGGAAGCAAACTTACTTTTCTATCAGTCAGTTCACTCTGCATGAGAAACAGGTGTTATGATAGGAAATGGGACTTGGAGCAGGAACAAAATAAAATTCTCTAAAAATAAGTTTGGTTTAAAAAAATTGAAGATAATAAACCTGCGGGGCTTACATGTTTTTGCAGAATGCAAATCATGAAAACTGGTTAAGGAATTAAATGCTCTTTTTCAAAAATGACCATGGAGATTATAATCATTAATTAAAATCATGTAAATAATGTTCTGAAAGAACCCGTCCTTTTTATCTCATAGGTTTCAAACAGCCTAATGGTAAAAGGTTTAGTCTCAAAAGAGTTACTCTAATTAAAACTAAAACTTTAGTATAATTAATAAGTGTGTGTAAGCTTGCAATCTTATCCACTTGCAATGACAATTTTTAAACATTAAAATTATATTTTAAAGTGTCATTATACCAGGCTACAATGGATTATATTCTTACGTATCCATTTTAATGTTTTCAATCAATTAATTGCTGCTATTAAAACTTTCTTGACTTGTGGTCTTACTCCTTAAAGCTCTGTATGTGATAACTTTTATTCTGCCCATAACTTCTGTCATTCACCTGTAGGGATGCATACTCAAAATACACAAACAAACAGACAAAGAAAAAATAATTACAAAGTAAAATGCATATATACAGTCCACATATTGTCTCTATATTCTGTAATTTCTCCACTGGTACACGAAGAAAAGTTGTAAATTATGTGAGAAAAGTTTTTAATAGTGAGTATTCGTTAGAAAGTTCTCTTTTATTACTAAATAGCAATGTAGGTACTAAATAGCAAGATACTATTGCTATTATTTAATATATTCTTTTATCAATATTTCTCTCTCTCTCTCTATTTTTTTTTCTGAAATGATTTAACTCAAAAAAAAATGTTGTAAAGAAAAAAATGGAAAAAAAAACCCACACAACAAACTACAAGTATTTAGCATTTAGTGAAATGGGATAGCCATACTTTCTATTTTCCTCTTCTAATGGGCTGAGTAAAATGAAGGGATTTATATTATAAGAGTACGCACTTATTCTGAGAACAGGAAAAAGAACATATACTTGAGCTCCAGCATATACTTACTGCATTGTTGAATTCTTATCGAATAGGGAAAGACAAAATGTAAGCAAATCTGCAGTACTGTGACAGAATAGTTACCCTTTCTACTCACTTTTTTTCCAAACAAAATTATTCTGGCAAGGGAGAGAGAAATCTCTGTGTATCACATACTGAGGCTCAGTTAAGATATACTGTCTGTTTCACGTAAACAAGAGGAGAAATCACTTGCTCTATTTTGAACCTAAAAGATGTTTTTTAGGATTCCTTAACCATATTTACTGGAGCCAGTTAGATGAATGTCAGTCCTTTTGCAGGAAGTACAGTAAATCAGAAGGTAAGAGTGCATTTCATGATTTAACATAAATTGCATTGACATTTAAATCAAAAAAATGTTTCTAAAAAGAAAGCCTGTGAAGTTTGAAATATGTTACTATTTCAATATGTGTACTATTTTCCAGTTTTGAAATATATTGACTCAGTTTTTAAAAATGTGATATATATTTTTTTAAATTTCTGCAGAATATTTTTTATCTTGAGGCATTTCTGATCTGTAACAAACTAAAAAAGCATGCCAATTATTCTTTTTTTTGTAAATACCTGACACAGTAATAAAAAATCTGAAAGGTGCAAATGGAACAAACTGATAGAAAATGTCAAAGATCAGTATAAAATATTTGCCTTGAATCGGAATGTGAAATTCTTGCGACTTACCTAAAAGCTGCAAACACAATTTGCAGTGATACATACTCCTGAGATACAAATACTCTCTCATAGATTGTTAACTATCCCTTCTTGTAAACTCCCCATCCGAATAAATAAGAATAAATCTTACAACTTTTAACTTCCTTGTAACTTTTTGTAAGCACTGTAGTACAACCTGAAACATCTTTAGAAATAGCAATCTTGCCACATTTTAGTTAGTAAGAGA